CTCTAAGCCCATCCAAACGGGCCCTTAAAACTTTGATTTATATCAAAAAAATTTAAAGGAATACATATCAGAGCAGAGTTTCACAGTATATAAAAGATGAAAAAGAGAAGAAGGGAGAGGTATTGTGTATAATTCTGGATATTCATTTTATAGACACTCAATTTTTGAACAAATACTATTTAATGTATTGTAGATGAAAATTTCATTCAAAAAACTAGATAATGTGGTTACATATGCAGCACTTATTTGTATGATAGACAGCTCCTTGCACTTAACTTGTAACAATATCAGACCTTTTCAGAAAGGTGAAAACTGCAAAGCTATCCCGTCTCTTCGTTCATTTTCTCGAAAACATAACAATAATAGAGTAAGAGAATTTAGATACAACTACATATTTTCAAGAACCCGTTGGGAGAAATGGGAAGAACTCAGACCACTTTGCAATAATACAGTTCGTTTTCTTCTCTCCGTATAACTGGACTAAGAAGCAACTGATAGAAATGTTAAACTACTACAACATACTATCTCAAGCAGACTATTCAATCTTTTGCAGTTATCATCTCAACAATGCAAATACATTGTATTAGATAATATGAGGTATCCCAAGATCTGTGAGATTCAGCAAATGGAAGATGTTGATAAATACTCGTTTGATTAGAAGAAACAATCAGTCTGAATCAGAATCAGGATTGATTGACGATCTCACTGATCTATTTCTATCATCATATGAATCATCATCCTCTTCTTCTTTCTTGTTCTCTTTGATTATTCCTGCACCAGAGATGGTTCAGTGATTGCCATAAGCTATGTATAAGAAATTCAGTGCCGGCACATGGGCAGGCAGGATGTCGGTATAAAAAATAGGTTGGATAATAATGGATAACAAAATCCAAACCGCCAATATTTAATATGGATCAAATGACAGATAATACATTGGCCTATCAGCGATCATGCATCCAATTAAAAAGCATTACCTTTCTTTAACAGAAAACCCTCCAAAGCCTTTGTGCTGAAGTCATCTTTTCCTCCCAAATCTTGAAAACCAACCAGCCTATCTGAAGCTATTCCATTCCTGAAGAGCAAAATTCTGTTAAGTGTAGATTAAAAGAAAATGACATCGTTTGGGAAAGAGCTAGTATAACTAACCAAACCCCTACGAATGCATTAATTCTAATATTCACATGCATGTGTACGAATTTTAGAAGGATAGGTCTGGAATAATAAATAAGACTACTCCCTTCCCTTTACCACAGTTTTGTTCAGGCAGTTATCATTAGGTCCTCATGTAACTATATGGAGTATATGTTTGTGAAGATCATGGTAGCTTCCCCCTCTAAGTCACAGTAAAACTGGAAGAATAAAAGAAAACAAGCAGAAACCAAGTTTAGAAAATCCACACTAGCTCCCTTACAACAATGACGGACTGATATTTCACTTTCCCTGTGTGTGGGCCTGTTTTAACAGATCATTTGATCTATATTGTTGAGACAAATAAATTAGGAAAATTTAGGTTCGATCTTATTGCTTGAAGAAATGAGCTAATTTAATCTTCTTGATTTGGCCTTGAAAACAACCAGAGAACCACCCAAACATGGACATATCATAGGAGAACTAATAATGCAGTGCAAAGCAGATGCACCAACCTGAAAAAGATGACGCATGGTAGAGTTTTAATTCCCAGCTTTGTAACAAAAAAAGGAGCATTCTGCCATTAGGTGATACAATAAAAAATGAGTTAATAGCACGAAAATGAGATCCAATCTGCACAATCCTTCAAAAGTTATAGAGCCAGTCTCTGAGTTTTTTGTTTTTTAGTTTTTCTATGTTAACTTCCACGCATAGGTGTGCGCAGATACTTCACAAAATTGCAGGACTATTTCTACTGTATAATATTATATAGAACTGTCCAAGAACTCAAGCAAAAACAGACCTCAGCATCCAACTTTAAGAACTTTGTATCAACATGTATTGGCGCAAGAGATTTCAAATGCTTATCCATGATCCTGAAAAAGCAACAAAGACCATTATGCTTGTGTATGCATGCAAGTGGATATGTATAATCCTATTTTTTCCCCTGTTTCTAAGTATTCATAGATAGATTAATAAAAGTTGAGGTGTCAATGCATCAAAATACAAAGACAAGCAAGAGAATTATCACAACTCGTCCAATAAAAATTTGGATGGCTAGTTAACCTTTGTAAAGCAGTCACAAGGGGAACCTTCAAGATGCAAATTTAGCAACAACATTAATGAATGTGTCAAGTTTGTTGCATCAGATTATAAGTTAGAAGACTGAAGTGCGCGTTTCTGACTCCAAAGCAACTCAAATTACAAATTTGCAGTATGTGAAATACCAGAATTTTTCAAACTGGGAAATTATACAACTCTCTCCTCTCTCTCTGCCTCTCTTTCTCAAACACAGATAACATCAGAAAATAATAGGAACTGTGATTGAGAAAGAACTGTCCTCTTATTTATGTCTTTTACTTTTGTGTGGGAGAAGGACAGTGAACTTTGAAACATGAAGAAAGTCCTTACTTGCATCGGTAGAACTCTCGATGATAGAAGTGACAAATCACTTTCTCACTACCAGTAACTTCACCCAAGAAATCTCCTTCCGTAATCTCTCTATATTCTCCATGCCCTTGCCTTTTTAAAGCTTGTCGCTTCTCTGCTTCTTTCTGCAGAAGAGAGTTCAAACAAACCAATAGTCTAACAATCAGGTACTTCATCTCCAATAAATAATTGTGTTGGCCTGCAGGCAAGACAAAATAACAGACCTTGAGAGCGGCAATCCTATCTGCATGCAACTTTTCCAGCTCAGGATCCTGTTAAAAGAATGATGAGCAAGTGAACAGGCATACAAATTATTATGTGCCTAAAAGGAGAAACATTGAAGGGTATGGAAACTTACATCCATCAGTTCATCAAGATCTATGTCTTCATTAACAGAAGATGATGCTTGCGCTTTTTCTTGAGCCAGCACTTCCTAAAGGAAGAAATTGGATACAAACGATTTGTAGTTAAAACCTGCTAACTAAAACTGACAAACTTTTGAGGTATATTACAACGATCTATCAATCATCTCAAATAATTAAGTTATCCCAAAGGAATATCAAGTAGCATCAAAGGTCTAACTCCCCTGAAATGGTAAAAACACCCTTTAACTGACAGGTCTTTTTCTTAAACTACAGGAGTGTAGCCAAATTTTCATCCAACATAGATATCAAGAATATCTGAATGACTCCCCAAGCCATCTTAGCTTATCAAGAAGAGTGATCTTGAATGGTTTCTATTTGGAGTATAGATATCAAAATAAATAGATAAACATAGTAATCATTCTCGATAGTTCTCATCTAGTATGAGTTTATCCCGAGACAGTAGGCATCATTAATCTAACCAAACGATAAATGGCAGCTCCATGTCCAATGGCAAGTAGAGAATATAAGCTTGATACACAGAAATGTGTACTCCACATTAACATGCAAAGAGATTCCAATCTCTAATAATTGTAGGAATAACCTAGAAAGGATCTACAGACTACTGATTTTGACAATTTTGCAAGTGAACCGTCCATATTTTCCTTTTTTTGAAATAGTGAAACCTCTTTTCATATTCTGTTGGAAAGAAATTTATCTTAGTCTCATAGAGAAATGGCACATGCGGATTTGGCTACACAATAATAAAATTACTAAAAGCTCCATCACAAACATCTGCATTAGTATTTAGTTATCACATTAATAACATCTTTTTGACTTCTGAGAGAATTGATTTCAATGCTTAGATAACGATGATTATAATCAGAAAGAAAAAAAAAACTTGTAGGGAAATAACATAGTATAGAATTTTAAGAATTCATTGTTTCTTTTAACTACAAACAGCTTCACCTGTCTTATATGAATACCTAAAAATTCAAACTTTACAACAACAAAAACTATGCCTCAATTACAAACTAGCAGAGGTGGCTATATGAATCATTTATATCCATTCTGCTCTACATGGACACTTAAAATTCTAAACTTTACTCCATTCCTACACGTTAAAATCCAAATTGTACTCTGCAAAATGTTCCCTTCGTCTGTATGTGAAAAAGATTACTGTAACACCTTAAACAAGATTCCATCGACTTCATGTTCCCGACAATAAAACCCCCCATAATGATTTATTGTACAAACACTCCGTATTGAACTCTGAAAGACTTTATGAATCTGTTCCAAGCCCTCCAACACTATATGATGAACTAGCAAAAGTTGTTCTTTTACCACCATATACATAAGTTAAAACAAAAGTACAAACTGAACATTAGAAACAACAGACGTGGAGAAATTCAATCAATCAACTCTGTATCGATCCAAATAAGTCAGGATCAACTATATGAATTCTATGTATCTATTGTACTGTATTCAGGTCCATTTATTATTCAAACTCATTAGAATTATGAGTAGTATTTATGTTCTGTCGTCCACCTACCATAGTTCTCTTTCTTTATCTAAACTTAGTATCGGCTAGTAGGCGTGTGGCTATATTTCATTCTGAAATCTGAAAAATAAAGTTGTTTTTGTTTTCAAAGTGAAAAATCATGTTTGAAAATGTAGTATTTGGCCATGAATACAAATTGAAGTTGTTTTTAACTTTTTGGTGAGTATGAAAAAAAGTGAATATGCCCTTTTTGCTATTTCTCAAATTCTTTTCCAGAGTTCAAAATTTTCAAATATCATTTTCTAAAAGAAAAAAACTTTTTTTTTTGAATTTCACAATAAAACATGGACAAACACCTATAATATGGCATGGAGCAAATAATAGAAGGAAAGCAAGAGAGATTCAAATTAGAAAAGAGTAGATACCTTCTGGTAATCACGAGCAGCAGCAGCCATTACATTTCCAAATGCCAAATTAGAGAGAGTCGATTTAACTGAATCTGGATCCATCTCTTCTCCTTTTCCACCTATGTAACCTAAATTCAATCAAAACAGATACAAAAACTGTGAATATAAACAGAAAAATAGCAATTGAAATCAGTGGATCGACGTTTACTGTAAATTGAATGAAGTGAAAAACCTGTGAAAATGCGCAGATTTCAAATTGAACGAATCTGGGATTGTTGGAGGTAGATGAACAGAGAAATATACGAGAAGAGGATGCGGAAAAGGGTAAAGATTTGAACTACTGATGAGGTAAAGATCGAACTTTTTCTTAATGGGGTTGAAAAATTAAATACTCTCTATATCTCATAAATATTTTGGATTTCGAAATTAAAATAAATCCAATTAGTAAATATATCTTATCATCTTGGAAACATGTATACATGAATTTAATTAAGTCTTGAATATATCTAAAAGATAATTCACACAATTCAATGAATTTATAATACTTTATTTGAATATCCATAAATAATGTGTCTCGTTAAAATTTTTACTAAAAAAAATAGTAAGAAAAAATTCTAGTGAAGGAAAAAGAGTACACGTATCTTTTAATACGCATTATTTGTTGCCTCATGAAAAACCTTGTTAGGAAAATCCAGTGGGACAAAACCTCGGTCAAGGAAAAAAGAGTGCAATGCGTATTGTATTCCCCCGATTAAAACATCACTTAATTTCCTACAATGATGTCTCCAATCTTCGTACATTGTGGTTGGTATATTCTTTTTCAAAGAAAAACCACACATTTCCAGAATATGGTATATCATTTATCTCAACCAGACGCACTTTCGACTTGGTTCATGGAGGACTTTTATTTCTGCATAGCAACATTTGCTTTATTGATCGCCAGTATATTATTGTGCCTCCACATGCAAACACAAAGCGTGCTTGAGATAGAGCTTTATGTAGATCAGATAAATATTCTGCATCTGTGTAACCAATCAATTTTGTCTTGAATTCCTCGGAATAGAATAAATCCATAACTATTGTCCTTCGAGGATATTCAAGCATGTGCTCAACACCATTTCAATGTCCTTTTATCGGGGAGAAGCTGAATTTTGCTAGTAAATTTACAACAAAATAAATATCTGATCAAATATTGTTAGTAAGATGTACTAGTGTCATGATTGCACCAAAATATGGAGTTTCATCACCAAGAAGCTCTTCATCCTTTTTTGAGATCAAACTAAATCATCATTTATGTCAAGTGATCTCATAACCATTAGGGTACTCAATGAATGTGATTTATCCATGCATCAAAAATTTTCAGTGTATGTGCACTGTTAGACAAATATTCCATTTGTCAAATTATCAATTTATAGGTCAAGATAAAATTCTATCTTACCAAAATATTTTCATAAAATACACAATTAGGATCATTCTTTTGTACCCTTTTCTTCCTTGACTATTTCAATCCATATAAGGATTCCTGAAGTTTTATTGAAAAAGTTTCTTTCAAACTTTTATATGCTTCAGACACCTCGATTGTTTCAAGGATTTTCATATAACCTTCATTGTCTAGCTAGACATGACAATTATTCATTATATGCATTCAAGTTTTTCATATGTTGCCAGATCAAAACAAATCTCATTGCATGCACCATAGGAGAAAACATCTCCAATTATGTAGGATTCTTTTGCGACAAACCTTTATGCCCCAAGGTACAGGTCGTACTTGATATCTTACGGTTATAATATCGTATAATAATTTATTTGTACCCCATTGTTATTATACTTTAATTTATGGATAATCAGTCCAAAACGTCACTTTTCTAAGTGAAACAATATACTTGAATTATGCATTTTACTTGGCCAACCATTTATCTGTCCACACTCTATGACAGATTTGAATCCAAGATCCTCGTCACAATTTATATCATTGAACACTACCTCATATCAAAGATACCGTCGACGGTTATTTGCTATCGATTCCAACAAGACATAACTTATCGATATCTCTTCATTTTTCTTCATTTTCAGGTACCTGAACCTTTTCCGAGGTTTTATGAAGTGTTATGTCAATGTGCTCTTTTATAGCACTTGCCTCATTATCATGACCATATTGATCATTTGCTCCTTCCTTCTTCAAGGAATTTTATATTTGAAATCGATTGGTCTATTACGCTTCTGGCGTATCATAGACTCTGTCCTCCAAAGACTTTACGTTGGAGCATTTGCAGCTGAAATATATCATAGGGTCACTACATTCATCTGACAATTGATTTGAAACATTATGCAAATGAATTATCCCTTGTACATTAAGTTCACATATTTAATTTATGAGGATCTAGATAATAATCAACCCACACATAATTTTCAGCTGTCAAAATCATCTCTCCCCCTAATATTAGAAAATCTAACATTCATCCCAACCTTATTTGGTGGAGCAATTAAGATCATAACCGCACATTTAACATTTTAGATGAAAATTATATGATTCCTGACCCTGAACCAATTTTAATGGGGAGACCTTGTTGGCTTGATGCATACATGTGTTGCTACATGTTAAATAAATTTATCTTATGCCAAATTTTATTTGGAAGTTCTGTTCTCATAACCATGATTTAGCTATAATTGTAGGCATACAATTTTTGCTAAATCAACCAACATTATCAATATAATTTTATAATTTGGAACTGTGCTCTTAATTAATGATTCAAGCAAACAACCTTACAAACACCAATTTGTAAGTTGACAACAAAGTACATGTAATCATCTCATTGATGCATCATATAATTGCAAATGATCCACATAGCGGGTGAATGGGCATTCACCTTTTTATATGTTCCAAACTTCAGGGGATTACAATCCCAACCTTAGCTGGTACAATGAAAACAAGCAACACAAGAAAATTCTTGAAGAATCTTTTATTTTTTCATTATATAAGCCACATAAATTCTCAATTATATTTGCATCACATCGAAAACATGATGGTCAACTGGTCATGCCAATTGATATTTATTTCAGTACGCATCTAATTTACTTTTGCATGTGATTTCATCAGCATGTCATGTCTGTCTGCAACAAACAAGAGGAAAAGTGGGGTAATCTATTACATAAATATTTATAATCCTCTTCGGTTGTAGTGATTTAAAGATATTAAATCTTTTAATAATTTATAGTCTCAATATTTCTTTTAATTTCATCTGAAACTTAAAAAAAATAAATTTGAGACTTACTACAACCAATTATTATTTCGCTGGTAATAATACAACTCGTTAGAGCTTGCTGTTAATTTTGTGTACTATCACATATTGCATGACACCATTCCTATGGTGAGTATTTCCTTTAAGGAGGAAATTATATTGTTATTGTCATGGTCAAAACATTACGAGCAAGGCATGTTTCTTGCTTTACTTTTGTTGTACCATAGGTACACAACTAATGACAAATTTGTATTGCCACACAATATACTTGATCATGGCCACAACCTTTATAGGCAAGAACTAATTACTTTTTTCTTTTTGCCCTTTCGGTAGTTCATAACATACATACTATAATATTCATGACGTATAAACGCACACGACCATTGGCCATTCATGTCAAATAAAATTTATTTATTTCTCTCAAACCTCCCATAGAGATGAGATGTGGCATATATCATTTTTTCTCAAACCTTCCATAGAGGTGAGTTATGGCATATATCCAACCAATAATGATTTTATCACATCTTGACCCATTCTCTTATAGAATGGTTGAGCATTCACGATACTCATCACAAGTCACATTCTCTTCAAGGAATGGACTAATCATTTATATGTACTTCATAAATTTGCATTATAAGCATATTGTCATGGCTTTAAAATTCATCATATTTTCATGACACACCTCAACATCACTTTAAAAGAACAAGTGTACCATCACTTTATCTTTTTGTCTTTTGATGGAGGATTTATAAACTTGTCAAATTATTGGATCGATAATATTCACAAGTCCCATGACCTTTAATACCTTTTGATAATAAAAATTGTCTTCACATTTTGAAGGACTATTTGGAGAACGCATATTGTTCTTCCTTTTATAATTACCATAATGATGACTATTATAATTTCGTCCTTTGACGTCCTTTTTCATATCGTTAATCACTTGTCATCTTTCAGACTAATTATTTACAGCTACCATTCATATGATAGAATGGAGCAAATCAACATCGGATTTCAAAGTTATCATATGTTGCTACCATATCTTTTCAAGGAATGGAACAAATTCAATAGGACGAATTTGAAAGCTTTTTCATCAAAGCCTTAGTCATCATTATATCATCACTATGGTGGATTGACTCAAACTCAATGTCTTATCCATATAAGGCGTGTTAGGTCAAATTCTATGGGACTTGACCCAATCCTTATCATCATGGTGTATCAAAACTCAAATTGATGTCTTGCCCCCTTGGTGCGTTAGAACTTGAATCTATCATCTTATCCTCAAATATTTTTCATTATGTATCTGGACTTTAACCAAATGTCTTACCATTTTGGTGCGATGGGACTTGAATCCATCGTCGTACCCTTCAATCAATGTCATATAAGTCAATACCAATAGAACTCAACCATGAGCCTTTAAATGAAATCAAGAATTATAGAAGCAAATTTAGTCAAAATAAGATTGAGAGTTTTCTCACCTCTAGCAATTATAAATATTAATAAGTTCCTCATAAACATGAAAATTTACTTCTTTATCCTTCAATTCTTTTCTGAAACGAAGAACTGTTCGTATAATCATAAATCAATGTATAAAATTGTTAAAGTAAAACAAACCAATATGTTCTACGTTTTCATATAATACATATATACTAAAATAAATTATTAGTATAAGAGGTTCTTTTGAAAGTATAAATGTGTAACAAGAAAAAATAAATAGAACATGTTCCTGCTCACAAGTGTTTCAACTATAACACTTTTGCGAAGTGCCACAATTTTAGAGCATATTCGTGCTGATAACGTGTTATGAAATCAAGCTCATAAGACTATAATCATAAAGAGAAGCAGGCAAGAAAAGTAGATAGAAGAAGATGTTTTTTCTTCTTATTCAAGTGTATTATACAATAGGTGAATGATATCTCCATTGATAGAGTTGAGATATCACCCCAAAGAACACCATGATAAATGCCCAATTAGTACGTACATAGTTATCCAAATGGTTCTTATCACCTTGGAAACATGTATACATGAATACAATTAAATCTTGAGTATATCTAAAGGACAATCCACATAATTCAATGGATTTATAACATTATTTTATATATCATTCATATATTTTGAATTATTAACTATTATAACTTATAATAAATATTTTATA